CAAAATTTCAGGACAGTTAATTTGGTCTTCCCTTACCCTAAGAGGGTTTTTCTTAATAATAAGGAGAAGAGGTGTGGTTCAAAGAAAATTAAGAAACAAAAACTTCAAATACATAATGCATGAAAATCTTTAAATGCCTGCAAAAATTAAGTTCTGTTATAATACTAGCCAATTCCAAATTAGCCAATGCCCTAAAAGCGTCTAACAATTTAAGCTTGTCTGAGTCCCACGAAAACAATTATTTCTGGTTAAATTTGAGTTTTAGCTACCAACTCCATATTTATGTGACAACAAATTGTTTTGGCCCTGTGGTTTATGATGTGCTGCTGGATAAACATTTATGTAAAACTGATGTTTCAAAAAGAAGCATTTCTAATTGGAATTTCCACCTGTGTGACTATTTGCAGATCTACCTCTGTCTTCCATTTTGCATCCTATCAGTGTTATAATTAGTTTGATCATGTTGTCTTGTTTTACAGTGTCTGCAATTATAGTGAATTATGTTTTAACTACTTAAAAATAAGGACTAAAATTTGATTTAAAGTAGTTAAACCCCTTTACGGAAGGAGCTGCAAAATGAGAAAAAAAAAAGGAATGTCATCTTGATCCAGCTGACTAGAAATTTTCTTTTTCTTTTCTTTTTTTTTTTCTGAGATGGAATCTCATTCTGTTGACCAGGCTGAAGTGCAGTGGCACAATCTCAGCTCATTGCAACCTCCGCCTCCTGGATTCAAGTACGTAATTCCCCTGCCTCAGCTTCCTGAGTAGCTGGGATTACAGGTGTGCACCACCACACCCAGCTAATTTTTTTGTATTTTTAGTAGAAACAGGGTTTCACCATGTTGGTCAGGCTGGTCTCGAACTCCTGACCTTGTGATCGGCCCGCCCTGCTTCCCAAAGTGCTGGGATTACAGGTATGAGTCACCACACCTGGCTTAGAAATGTTCAATACTGTCTTTTAACTACTGCATTCCAACCAGCCTGGGCAACAGAGTGAGACCCTGTCTCAAAATAAATAAGAATAAGGAAATATTTGTTAAAATATCTAACTATGTAATTGTTGCATGAGGGAGCCACCAGTGTAGTTGAGGTTCTTGGCAGCATTCCACTGGACTTCAGCATTTCTCCAAAATTACCAGCCCAGTCAGCTTCATATACCCAGATATGGACACTTCTTCACTTGAAATTCAAACTGAAGATAAAATTCTGACTTTGGACAGTAAACCTTTGCCTTGGGTATGAAACCTTGACACTGTTAAAAGAAAAGTGGAAAACTGTAAGGGACAACAAGTTTCAACAAGGCACAGTCTGACTGCCTATTTTCATGTACTTTAAAGAGTATTATTTCTCAAGGTCTTCATTTTATCATTAAATTCAGCTAATTACTACCTGTTTTGAAAGGCAGCTAGTGTAGAAGATTGGTCACAATATTTTTTTTTTGGCGGGGGGACAGGGTTTCAGCATGTTGTTCAGGCTGATCTTGAACTCCTGACCTTATGATCCACCTGCCTCGGCCTCCCAAAGTGCTGGGATTATAGGCATGAGCCACCGCGCCCGGCCACAATAATTTTTTTTAATAGAAAATCTTAAAATCCAAATCAAGAAATTCAGTTACAGGCTGCAAAGTAACCTAAAATTCCCCCACTCTGTTTAGCTCAGCGGCTGCCAGTCAGTATAGCACCAGCCACAGTTCACTGTGCTCTGCATACAGTTCCTTTCCAGCCCTTACAAGACCTGCTTCATTGCTTTAAAGAACATAATGCTGATACTTGAACTGAATTTAATCATTGGTAACTTAAATATTCACAAAATTGTCATAAGCTTCTGAAACTTCTGGCAATGCCATATCTGTAGATCATCACTTTTAAATGGAGTTTGCAGAATTAACTGTAAAATTGCAGCAACCATATTTATTAGAGAAATCTTTAAGCATATACATATGGTTCCCTATAAGTATTCATTCAGAGATCATCTGTGCCTAAAAGTAAATGATAAAAATGTGTCATAATATCACAAGGCTCTAGATCAGGGATTGGTAAACTGTAACCCATGGGCCAAATCCAGGCTGCAGGTAGATGATCTGCAAGCTAAGAATGGTTTTTATATTTTATTTTATTCTATTCTATTTTTTATTATTTTATTTTATTTATTTTTTTGAGACAGTGTCTCTGTTGTTGCCCTGGCTGGAGCGCAGTGGCAGGATCTCACAACCTCCCCCTCCCAGGTTCAAGTGATTCTCCTGCCTCAGCCTCCCAAGTAGCTGAGACTACAAGCACATGCCACCATGCCAAGCTGGTCTTGAACCCCTGACAAGTGATCTGCCCACCTTGGCCTCCCAAAGTGCTGGGATTACAGGCGTGAGCCACCATGCCCAGCCAGTTTTTACATTTTAAAAATGTTTAAACAAACAGAGAAAGAAGAATATGCAACAGAAGCTCTATGTTGCCTGCAAAGTCTAAAATGTTTACTCTCTGGCTTGGGAGTTTGCCTCCCCTGCTCTAGACTCAGCAAATGGCACAATGGTACAGTACAGTGGTACTGCCCAACTGCACTTCTCTGCAAGGTGATTCTAGTGTGTATTTGTCAGAATGAAAATTTGTTACATATTTGAGACATCTCATGTTTTTGTTGAATGTAATCACATGATTTGTATTTAATATTTACTGAATTATTTTTTCATATCAGTTTTTCTATATTGGCAGTAGCCTATTGCAAAGTGCCTAAACCTTTGAGAAAAATTACTATGAGCAAGGTCCATGATTTAGTTTTCAATATAAAGGGAATTTCATTCTATACTATAAAATCCAAAAATGCTAGTTGCCCTTCGCTTTTGAGTTGACTTCCAGAAAGTTGAGATCTTTTGACCATTTTTTCTCATATCATATAAAATGTGCCACTTGGTAGTTGTCACACTGTGGAAGTCATGTATACTTTTTTTTTTTTTTTTAACTTTCTAAAAGGAAAAATTCAAAGTTCTTTCCACAGTTAGTCCAAGCTGCTTTTGGGTTTTTCTTTTTAGAGCTAAATTATTCATACTAATAAGTAAGTGAGTCTGTTCCAAGATATAGAGGCCATTATCTATTTTTGCTTAATGTACTGATGGGGCATTGTTGTTCACCATCATGCATTTCCATACTTTTAATATTTCTGAGTCGCTTATCAATGTGATCAACAGATAAACTGTTCACGCTAATATAGCATTTCCTAACTTCATAGTTGTTGCAGATGTTTGTTCTAGTAGTGATTATTTAATAAACATATACATTGTACTGAATCTTATAAGCAACTAACATTTTCAGATAATCTCAGTCTGCTTATTCACTTTTTCCATTTGATTTGCCAATGTCATAATCATTTTTCTAGAAAACAGTAGGATAATGTATTTTTTCCAGTCTGCTATAATGGAGACTATATTTCAGCATTCATTACCTCTCATAGGTGAAAATATTAAATGATATTGTTTTAAATAAGACTACCGGTAGCGTTTTATCCCTGATGTATATTTTTTAAATCTATACGTTTATATAAAGGAAGGGCTACCATGTGTTATTAGAGAGTTTATGTACTACACAAAGGCACCCAGTTGAGAGAGGAAGGAGGGTGAATCAGGGGCTGAAATCTAGTCTGTGCTCAGCCTGCTAAAGATGGGGTTGCATCTCAGAGGACACATCTTTTTCCAGTTTGCTTAAGCTGGCAGTATAGGCCAGCAGTAATCCTCTTCATGGAAATGACGTCCAGTCATTATCCGGGGGCTTCTTTGCCATTAGACTCCTAACACTGTACTACAGTACCTTTCTACTCCAAGCCTAAGTATGTTACAAGGATAAAAGCTAATAATGTTTTAATTAAACATTTATATCTTTAAATATACAGCATCTTCAACTTTAGGAGCTGTGAAGTAAACACATGAACCCGTCCAGCTTCACACAACGAAGGGCGACAGATCAGGAACAGAAAAAATGGTCCTGCATAACCCATGTGTGTCTGTGGTTTATAACTTTAACCAAAGTACCATCTACAAGATGTAAACAAATTAGAATTTTCCATAACTCATCTAGTTCCTCAAACTACAGCTTTTCAAATATTAGCTTTCTTAGCCAAGCCTGCTGGAATGGTGGTTTTACTTATTGTTGACCATATGGTTGATTCTTCAGTTAGTCCCTCCTTTGTTTGTCAGGGTAGGGCAGCCTTGCCTGTATCAACGGATGCTGGCAAGAGGCGAACCAGGAACCTTTACCTGACAAAACACAGACATGAGTTTGCAAAGCCATTTGGGCTGTGCTTTATGAGGGAATAACTGAAAAGGAGTGTGAATGGCTTTATTTCACCCTGAACAGTACACACCTGCCTAACACAGGTATCTGTCATTTGATTTAGCAAATTTTGTGGACTTGACTTTGGGCTTCTCACTAGCGTGGTCTGGGGTGGCCTTTTCAGCTCTTTTTTCTTTCTTTTGCCCTGGACTGGAATGCAGTCTACCTCAAGTGGGTCTTCCTAGGTAAGAGAGAAAGCAAGACCTGTCTCACTTAATAGGGTGGTCTAGTCCCAAAATAAGGCTTGATTCTCAAAGGAAATGAGAAAAGAGAAAATGGGAGGGGGGATCATTTATTGAGCCCTACTATGTGCCATCCATTCAACAAACTGGAATGTCTATTTTAGGCTCTAGGAATACCGTGAAAAATAAGACAAATACCTGCCCTCATGGCACTTAGTGTCTCATAAATAACTGTGCCAATTACATTTGGGATGAGCATCATGAGGAAAGGTAAAGAGTGTTCTAGGAGGGAATGCAAGGGAGCTGGATTAGGGAAGACATTCCTAAAGATGAATATCTACACCAAGAACTGAAGAATGAGAGGTATTAAGGAAGGCGGGGGAAAGGCTGTTTATAGCAGAGGTAGCCAGAGGTGAGTTCTGGAGAGATGGGTTGGAATGATGTCACATAGGGTTTTGAAAGCCATCTTACGAATTTGAATTTAGTTGTTGTGATGCGGTGGCTCATGTCTGTAATCCCAACACTTTGGGAGACCAAGGTGGGAGGATTGCTTGAGGCCAGGAGTTTGAGACCAGTCTGGGCAACACAGCGAGACCCCATCTCTACAAAAAAAAAAATTTAGGTAGCCAGATGTGGTGGTACTCACCTGTAGTTCCAGCTACTCAGGAGGGTGAGGTGGGAGGATCACTTGAACCCAGCAGTTCCAGGCTGCAGTGAGCTAAAATCAACAGCACTCCAGCCTGGACAACAGAGACGTCTCTGAAAGACAAAAAGAATTTGAATTTGGGAAGCTCTGGAAAAGATGGAGAATAGATTAAAGGGAGCCAATATGGATGCAGGGATACCAGATAAAGGGAGAACGGGGGACAGTGGTAGTGGAGATAGTTTGCAGTCTGTGTGAGACCTAGCTGAGAGCTTCAGGATAAGAAATGTGGATCTGGAGCTCAGCTGAGAGACCTGGGCTGAAGATGTAAATTTAAGAATCACAGACGTGCATATTAATTGAAATGGGAGTGGTTGAGATCACAAAAGGAAACAGGGTCTGAGACTGAGTCCTAGAAACCAAACCATTTAAGGATTACGTAGAGGAATTTTGAAAGACAAGGGCATCTCAAACCAAAGAGAATCACCAGTCACTTGGAAAGGAAGCCTGGGTGAGGATCTGGGTTCTAGTTCCTCAAAGTCTGAATGTCTGTGGCTGGGCTGGACACACAGTGCCCATCGGCAGAAACAGCTACATGGCTGAGGGGTAGAAGGCAGTGACCCTGATATGACACTGCACTGAGACAGGCTCCAAGCTGGAACCACTGGCATTAACCCTGACAGGGTACTTGCTGTTAGACAAGTTATCTCCTTTCAGGGTGTCTGAAGACCTGGCTTAGGAGCCTGGTCCTTCACTGAAAAGCTGTTTGGTTGTGGCCAATTCACAACTAAATTTTGGGTTCTACGTCTATAAAATGTAGGACTGTCTTAGCGGTTAGCACCATGGTGTAGTGTGGCTCTCGTCACAAGTTTCTAAACGGTGCCTTTCCTGTAACAGTGCCTGGCCTGGGCCTGCAGGGGTACTTCAAAACTGGACAAACGAGAGGAGTCAACTCCTCTCCTCTCTCTCACTGACCAGTGAGGCCTGGAACAAGGGACTGTCCAGCCTTCTCCCCTGCCTGGTAGTCAGGTGCTGGCCTGTGCCACAGAACCTGTTTATCTTGGAGGTGGAGACAGGTTTTCCTGCCTTATCCTGCCCCAGTTTTTCAGACTAGGGTGGGGCAGAGCACACACTGGATTGAGACTTTTTCTGCTAGATTAAAACACCCATCCATCGCAACGGGGAAGGCTAAAAAGGTGTCCAAAGTGTGTTGATCTGTCTCTGAACAGTACACATCTTTTGGAAGCCACCTTCGGCACACGTGTCCACTACATACATCTCACTAAGTTCTTCCCTGGTCATTTCAGAAATCTCCTGGAGAGGTCAGAACTGTTTGTTTTAAAATCTGCTAATTTTATTCCAATAACCTTACCCCCATTTAACTTTCTCCCCACTTCAAATCATTCCCAAATTTCCCAAAAGGTATATCTGCCAAGGAGAAAAGATGAGTTTTTAGGGGGCTTGAAGAAAACGAGTTCACAAAATTCATTCAGTCAACCAGCTCTGTGCCAGGCCCTGGAATCTCATGAGCAAGGTGTAGTCTGGGAGGAAAGTGGTCATGTCCCTCCCTGGGGCTACTGTCTTGCCCTCATTTGTTCCTAGATTTCATTGCTAATCCTAATCAGCTCCTTTTAGTCCTTCACCCACCAGGAAGTTGCCTGTGAGTCTTAGGGCTTTCCTCATCCTCTAGATAAACCTCACCATCCCCATTGGAAGCCTACACTCGGTCCCTCTCCTTCTCTCTCTTCCCCCCACCCTTTCCCCCTTCATTCTTCTTTCATCCGGCACCTCCCCCTGTAAACAAGTAAGAGGGATGAGGAGCCTGAGAGTTGAGAGATGAACATTCTCACAGAATGTCCACTAAGTCACCAAGCTATGACGATGCTATTTGGAATGAAACTGTTCACAGTTCTCTATCACTGTTAAGGTAGCCATTGTCTCTAGCAGCTGCCAGCTAAGTCAACAGAGAAAACGAAGTTTCATTGGAAACAACCAGAGCAGTTGGCAGGACTGTAGCTGCGGCTGGGACACAACCCCAAAGTCTGTCTGCTGTGAGTGGCTAACTTTCCATATCACACAGCCTGGAGTGTCTGGGTGGCACCTTGCTTGCTGCCGTTCCGTCACGCTGCTCTGCTGTCTGCTTACTGCTGCTGTCGGTGCTGTCTTGGGGAATCACCCGAAATTGCAGTGGCTGCAGACAACCTCTGAACCACTGGGCTCCCCTGCAGCCGTCAGAGGGCAGGTTCTATGGCAAGGAAGCTGGGGTTCCCTTCCATCAGCCTCCCTTCCTAAGAGTATGAGGATCCTAAACAGTGGGCCACTGTTTGGTCATGTGTTGCCCCTTGAGCCAGGCATGCTGTCCCTGTGACCCAGGGTCTCAGTAGTGGTCAGGACTGTATTGGCTATAAATGGCGAAGTCCTGGTGTCCAGCCAGAGTGAGGCAGCCAGGACAGTGCAGCTCTACCTCCATCACACTACTGAGAGACATGGGTTACCAAGCTCTAGGAAAGCAGCATTCCCTCGAGTAACAGTCAGAAAGGGGTGATTCAACACCGGGCTCTCTGTGTCAGTGAGTGGAGACAGGGGAAAGGATCCAACTGCCTAGCCCTAGCCCCTGGGCGGGGTCACTTCACTCGGGTCCCACGGCACCTCCCAAGAGTCAGGGCTGCTGAGGCCAGCCTCCTGGTCCCCACCCTGACCCCTGAGATGTCGATTAGGACACCCTGGAAAGGGAAGCAACTGCCTGTAGATCCAGTATGCTGGAGGGCCCTCCCAAATTTTTTCCAGTAACAATTTGTAAGATCAAAACAACAGGGGGTGATTTGATACCACCAAGAGCTTGTTGGGCAAACATTGAAAGTGAGATAGAGTGTGTGAGAGAGAGAAAGAGAAAGAGAGAGAGAGATCCTCCTATTTAGTTACCTAGAAATGCTAGCCATTCTAAAAAATTTTACTTAAAAGGAGAAAAAAGGGACTGGTAATTTGGCAGTGGAGGCCATCCCAGAGAGTGCCTCCTTCCTAGAGACACTGGGCCCCTTTCCTCCTTCCTCTTCTCAAGTCTTATCAACTAGAGGCTGAAAGTAACACCCACAGCTTCTGGTAGCTAAAAGCCTTAAAAACAACAACAAAAATCAAACAAGAGAGACTGGTGATTTAGGCAGCTATAATGCCAAGAAAAAGGATCTATCTACTTATCTATCTATCTATCTATCTATCTATCTATCTATCTATCTATCTATCATCTTTCTATTTAGCTAGCTCTGTTGCCCAGGCTGGAATGCAGTGGTGCTATCACAGCTCACTGCAGCCTCAATCTCCCAGACTTGAGCAACCCTTCCACCTCAGCCTCCCAAACAGCTGGGACTACAGGTGTGCACCACCACACCCCACTGATTTTTTTTTTTTTTTGTACAGACAAAGTTTCATTATGTTGCCCAGGCTAGTCGCAAACTACTAGGCTCAAGCAATCACTTCCCAAAGTGCTGGTATTACAGGTCTGAGCTACCGTGTCCAGCCCGGAACTTTAAACTTTAGGTACTGAGCAAACAGCAAGTCTAGGAAACACAATGCTAGCCTTAGATTACTTATTGATTTATGAACAAACTCCTAGATATAGAGGAAAATAAAAGGTATGTATAGACTATATATACATAAATGCTTGTAATTTATATATAAACTATAAAATAATGTGTATAAATAAATTATATACATATTTTAATATATAATAAATAGGCTGGGTGTGGTGGCTCACACCTGTAATCCCAGCACTTTGGGAGGCTGAGGTGGGTGGATCACTGGAAGTCACAAATTTGAGACTGGCCTGGCCAACATGTTGAAACCCCATCTCTACTAAAAATTCAAAAAATTAGCCAGGTGTGGTGGCACATACCTATAATCCCAGCTACTCATGAATCTGAAGCAAAAGAATTGCTTGAACCCGGGAGGTGGAGGTTGCAGTGAGTCAAGATCGACTCACTGCACTCCAACCTGGCAACAGAATGAGACTCCATCTCAAATAAATAAAATAAATACACACACACACACACACACACACAAGGTAAATTGTGTATATGCTGTATTTTCCATCATTTGATTTAACTGGAAATTCAAAATTGCTAATTTATGTACTAAAGAATTTATATAACAAAAAGATTAAAAACAGCACTTACTGGTTTTTGTGCCTCTATAACATAGGGTCTAACTTAACATTTGCAAAAATGCACTAACTGTCACAAATTAATGGACTTAACACTGGGGCTCAAATTATAATTATGCCTGGGGATCCCACTAATTTAAATACACTGACCCTATAATCTTGAGAGGTTAACTACATATAAAAGTTTTTAAATGTGTATGACTCAATTTAAGCGCAGCCTTGCCTAAATTTCTCATGGTCATATACCCACTGCTACAAAATGTTTTCCATTGAACATAGATAGTTTGACAAAATAAATAATTAATTAGACTGGGCGTGGTGGCTCATGCCTGTAATCCCAGCACTTAGGGAGACCAAGGCAGGAAGTTCACTTGAGCCCAGGAGTTCAAGACCAGCCTGGGCAAAAGCAAAACCCCGTCTCTACAAAAACTACAATTAACCAGGTGTGATGGTGTGTGCCTATAGTCCCAGTAACTCAAGAGGCTAAGGTGAGACGATCAACGGAGCCCAGGAGGTTGAGGCTGCAGGGAACCGGGATAGTGCCCCTGCACTCCAGCCTGGGAGACACAGTAAGACCCTGTTTGAATATTAATAATAAAATAAAAGTGTCTCTTTGTCTTTTGCAAATTGGCTTGATAAAATGGGACCCCCCCATGAGCCCCCATTTTATAGTTAATATGACCCAATGTAAGTTAAAGCAGGCCCTTCAAGGATTAAAACTCATTATATAAAAGCTTATTTTTAAAGAGTGATTATCCCCCACTACTCTCCATTTAGCAGCCTAATTTTGCCTATGTTCAAATCTAAAAAAACACATATATATTTATGTATATACATTTTAATATACATTTATATTTTAATATATAAAATGTACTATATCTAAATTTAATATGTATTTTAAATATATAAATGTGTATATATGGTACCTGTGATGGATCACTACAACTCAACACTGTAGTCCCATCCATCAGGCCCCCATACCTAGTATTAAAATTAAACTGATTTCCTTCAATCAACAACTAATAAATACTCTTACAAAGATGGCTAACCATGCCTATTTCAACAGCCCTTCAGGCAGTTTGCCTCTGCCTCTGAAGGGACACAATACACTTTTCTAGGCTACTCACAGGAGACCTCCACATGAGGTCTGTCATCACACTGCCTTTACAGACAAGATGCACCTTCTCCAGGAGCACAGGTGCAACACTGCACTGAGAACATCCTCCTCCAAGGAGATTTCAATTGACTCACACTCACATTTGAGCTTAAAGAGGAGGCAGGCCGTCACTGGTAGCTAAGGAAGCCTGTAGCTGCCCTCCCGCTCTTCATCCTATCCCTAAGGAGGAGGGGTGATGTCATGGATTGGTCAGATTCAAGTCAAGTGAACCAAGCCAAGGCCTGGGGTGTAATCTCAGTGTGTGAAATAAAGGGGTTAAAGGCTGGTCCCAGGCTGTGGATGTCTCCCTTCTACTTCACTCTCAGACGCTGCAGGTAAGATGGGGGCCTGGGCTTATTCCTATCAGGAGGGAAGTGCATTTTTCCTTCTTCCCATTCCCCTCTCAACAGAGTCCCAAGAAAGAACAGGCAGAGGCCAAGGAGAAAGGAACAAGGACAAAACAGCCCCTTCTACACAGGTCCAGTGCAGACCCCAGAGGTCAGGGCTTCATGTTGGGGCTTGGGGTCAAAGCCCTAATAGATAATAAAAGTTTTTTTTGCTTGTGAAATCTGCTGTACAAATATTCCTCCAGGAATACCCTGGGATAGTAGGGGGCGGGTGGGTGTCCCTGGAATCTGTATTCCAGCCATCCATCTCTCAGCATCAAACCAGAGGAGGGAATGACCAAAATAGTTTCTGGGAAAAGAAGGGGGAATTCCTGGAGGGGTGCAGTAGCTCACATCTGTAATCCCAGCACTTTGGGAAGCCATGGTGGGTGGATCACTTGAGGTCAGGAGTTGGAGACCAGCCTGGCCAACATGGTGAAACCCCATCTCTGCTAAAGATACAAAAATTAGCTGGGCGTGGTGGTGGGCACCTGTAATCCCAGCTACTCAGGAGGCTGAGGCAGGAGAATCACTTGAACCCAGGAGGCAGAGGTTGCAGTGAGCCAAGAAAAGGAAAAAGGGGGAATTCTAGGCAGAGTGAATAGCATTCCAAAGGCAAGCAATAAATGGATGTCTTAATATGTGTGGAGCAATAAACACAGTGAGAAAGGTCTGTAGTTAGGGGATCACAGAGGAACTTTATAAGGTTTATAAAGAGGAACTTTATACCATACTGTGTGAGAAGTCTAGACTTCATCCATAAAAAGATGGTCTCCTGTGTTAGCCAACTGCTTGTGTTATTCTGGTGCTTGCTACATGCCAGGCATGATTCTGAACGTCTTACATGAATTAACTCATATAATTCTGAGACACTAAGATAAAGGACTTGCCCAAAGTCTCACCAACAAGGAACCTGAGGTTCAAAGGGGTGGAATAGCAGCAGATCTGTTCTCTTTACCAAATTTGCTACTCGGCAGTCATGGCATCAACAAGGAGACAGGTTCTGTTGACCCGGACTTACCGTGAGGTGACCTGGAGGAGGTAGTATCTGAGCTGTGTCCTGAGAGACAAGGGATCAGGGCCAGCAGAGGCTGGGAGAGTTTAAGGTGCATGGGCTCCAGGATGTCTGAAGACTGCTTTGGGAAACAAGGGGATCCAGCAAAAAGAACCGTAGAGAGAAGTGCCCAATGCTTCACAGCAAGTCAAAGCCCCCAGGATGTACAGTGCGGCATCCAAGAACAGAGCTGAGCAAGCCAGCACCGCCCTCAGATCAGCGCCTGGCCCCATACCTTTTACTTTACAGCGGAAGTTGGCTGTGATCCAGGATCTTCATTCAGTTTTATCAAAGTAAATGCAAATTTATAAAAAACAAGATTTATTGTTACATTAAGGAGATTATTTTTCTTTCTAGAAATGATGGGGGGATGCTTTTTAATTTTTTTTAAGTAGTATGTGTGTAGAACTTTAGTATAACCAGGATTCTTTCCTCATTTCATTGAAAAATGAGTGTTAACTTTCTCAATTTTTCAAATGAGGACATTGACACCTAGGAGATTAACTCAGGAAAGAAGCTGGGGCTCAAATCCAGTTATTCAGACTCCAAATTCTGTTTTCATTCTTTTTTTCTTTCATTCATCGAAAAAAAAAATACTGCATTCCCCAAATGTGCCAGGCACAGGACTATGCACTGAGTAGATAGCTGATGGTAAAAGAGACAGAGCTTCTCATGGTGCTTCTAACACTGAGGCAGGAATACGTGAAGATACACTATATAATACTCTATGTCATATTTCTAATCAGCACTTGGTGATTACATTGACACTTTTGGAAGGCTTTCACACTTGCATTTGTAGTTAGCTGCTCCCATTCTTTCACTGAATGCTGCTTTGTGCCCATTCTTCGGCAGACACTGTGTATGGACTGTAATACACAAGCAGCAGAGTTCAATCTGGTAACACCTATGTGCAAACTACCTGCAAGTATTTATTGAGCACATACTTTTGGAAAAGCAGTCTTTCAGCAATATTTATTGGCACCTTGATAATCCTAACAGCTAATATTTACTGAATACTATGTGCCAAGGACCACAGTAAATTCTTTACACACATTATCATTTGTTCTTCACAGTAAGTCTTCAGAGGCAGGTATTTGAGAGCTTAAGTCAATATGCTCAAATTCATGACACTAGAAAGCAGTGGCAGCCAGCACTTCCTACGTCTCTGCTGTCCTAACTTCCCACCCTATGCAGGGCACTGGGGATACAACAGTGAACAACACTGGTGCAATCTCTGCCCTTAAAATGTTTACAGTCTAGGAGGGAAGATAACCTTTAAACAGTCATATGCTGTAATGTCTAACAGGGTACCTGGTCTCCTTTGAGCTTCATTCAAACTTCCCCAAGAATATGCCTTGTCAAGTGGATGCAGAGACTGAGTCTTTACGCAAAGAGAGAAGGGAGGGAGAATTCAGTCCAGCAGGGGGATAGCACAAAGAAAAGCTCCGAGGTAGGAAGAGGTCTGGCAGCCTGAGGCTGTGACTGGGCTGAGAGCATGGCTAGGTGGATCACAGGGAAGCTAAGGAAAAGAGCATGAGGAGTGGCACACAAATCTGCATAATTCAAAGTTTCCTCCAGCTGCAGGAGGGGAGAGTCCGGCCGAGAGCAAGGCAGTGTGTGGAGACGCCAGGCAGGACACTATTTCATGTGAGGCAGGGATGTTAGTTTGGATCAGCCTGTTGACAGAGGGAATGGCAGCATGAAGGTTGATTTAAAAAAATGTAGAAGAGAATCGACGGGGGTTGTGTGGAGAAATGAGGGAAAGGAGGGAGTCAAGGAAGATTTTTGGCTTGAACAACCCAGTGGATGGCAGTACTCAGGACAGCTCGGGGGAGGAAGATGAGAGTTCAAGTTGCATCCAGGGTGGCTGTGGACAACCATGGAGCTGATAGGTCAGGGAGCTGGTTGGTCATGTGGCTCTAGAGCTCGGAGGTCCTAACGGTGAAGGAGATCATCTTGGACAAAGGTGAAATGAGTGTCTAAGACAGAGCCCTAGAGGCCTTCCACTATGAAAGGTTATTATTAGAGAGGTCAGGTGCAGTGGCTCACACCTGTAATCCTAGCATTTTGGGAAGCTGAAGTGGGAGGATCACTTGAGCCAAGCGTTTGAGAGCAGCCTGGACAACATGGCAAGACCCTGTCTCTACAAAAAATAGAAAATATCAGCCACACACTGTGGCACACACCTGTGGTCCCAGCTATTCAGGAGGCTGAGGTGGGAGGATCACCTGAGCCTGGTAAGTGCAGGCTGAGGTGAGCCATGATCACACCACTGCATTCCAGCCTGGACGACAGACTGAGACCCTG